ACTGTAGCTATTTTTTGCCTTTTACTATAAATATACAACAGGAAGTTTTTACCACTGTGTTCAACCACTTTGCAATCCAGACCCAAGACCTTCTTCCTTGGGATATCGCTCAAAGAATACACTAGGAAAATGATTAATGGTGGTTGCCTCTGAAATGATTAGCCAGGAGAAAGGAGAGTGAGAGACTTTGTACCGTACATCCTCTTGTGCCCTCTTAATTAACTAAAATGATTATTTTTGAGCCTTCAGGCGCCTGGGTGGTTCAGTCGGTTAAGCATCCGACTCTTGATTTAGACTCAGGTCATGATCACAGGATTGTTGAGATTGCGACCTACGCTGGGCATGGAATCTGCTTAAGATTCTCTCTCTCCCTCTGCCCCTACCCCGCTTCCTCTCTTAAAAAAAAAAAAAAAAGAAAAAGGAAGAAGGAGAAAATAAAAAAAGAGCCTTCTAGTACCTAAAAGTACTATCCCTAGGGTGCCTGGGTGGCTCAGCCAGTTAAGCATCTGCCTTTGGGTCAGGTCATGATCCCAGGGTCCTGGGATCGAGCCCCGAGTCAGGCTCCCTGCTCCTTGGGGAGTCTGCGTCTCCCTCTGCCTCTGCCTCTCTCTCTCATGAATGAATAAAATCTTTAAAAAAATTAAAATTACTATCCCTAATATCCCATTTTCTAGATCTTAGATTCTACCCAGAAAATATAACTTTTAAATTATACTATCTGAAGAGATAGTAGGCAGGATCTACAAATGAGCAGGATTTACCTATTTAAAATAACATGTACAATAATCATCTATTTTAATGTGAATGCAAACTCATTTGTAACTCATTAAATTTAACTCTTATTAAATTTATAACATATTAAATTTAACTCACCAACATTTCACAGATGAAAGCAAAAACTCACCTCAAACTTGAATTTTATTTTCTAGAGCATTACCCTGTAAGTTCAGGCATTAATAGGAAGAATCACAGCTTCACAGAAAATGTGCACCCCTTCACTTCCAACTGTCAAAACTCTCCAAAAAATGGGAAGCCACATGTAATATTAAGTTAAAGGAAAAGACTTAACTATTATGTGAAAAGCACTATGCCAGGGATTTCACATATATTATCCCTTTTAATCTTCACAAAAACCTGAACCCAAATCTATCCCATCCCAAAGGCCATTATTCTACCACACCATCTGCCTTTCCTGCCTAAAGAGACATATAACTATTTTTTTTTCAAAGATTTTATTTATTTATTTGAGAGAGAGAGAATGAGAGCCAGAGAGCACAAGAGGGAAGAGCGTCAGAGGGAGAAGCAGACTCCCTGCTGAGCAGGGAGCCCGATGCGGGACTCGATCCCGGGACTCCAGGATCATGACCTGAGCCGAAGGCAGTCGCCTAACCAACTGAGCCACCCAGGCGCCCGAGACATATAACTATTAATACAAGCTAATAAGGCAAAAATGTATCTGAACATATAGACATCTTTTGCTTTATTCAACATAAATAAGGACTGTTTGCTAGTATCTTTTTTTTTTAAAGATTTTATTTATTTATTTGACAGATAGACAAATAGTGAGAGAGGGAACACAAGCAGTGGGAGAGGGAGAAGCAGGCTTCCCGCCAAGCAGGGAGCCCGAGGTGGGTGGGGCTCAATCCCAGGACCCTGGGACCATGACCTGGGCCAAAGGAAAACGCTTAATGACTGAGCCACCCAGGTGCCCCTGTATGCTAGTATCTTATGAAATCAAGTTAGTACAGGAAATTTTCACCAATATTCAAAATATGCACATCATCTTGTTCTTCCTCCTACCCTATTTGTTGATTCTTCCAAAGATTTTAAAAAGACTCTCCAAAATCGATCAGTTTCACAAAATAAACTCCCAAAATAAAATTCAAAATTAGAAATATAATAATATTAGTGGGTAGCCCGCTTTACCCAAAACACTTTTCACATACATTCTTTCCTTTAATCCTCACAAGGAGCCTACTGTTACTCTACAGAGGAAGAAACTAAACTAAGGCTCTCAAAGGCTAAATGAGACCTAACCGACCAAGAATCCAAGAATCTGAACCCAAGTCTCTGATGCCACAGCCCATTCTTTCCATCTCACCATGCTGCCTCTCTGGTTTAAAGGAATCAAAACAATTTTTCTTGTGACAAGAAAATATGACTATAGAACCAAAAAAGCAAACTAAGTGTTTTTTAAAAAATTGTCACAAATTTCATCAAACAACCGTTTTCTGATAGACAAATTACTGGTATGCTACATGAAACAGGGATAACCACTCCAATTTGAAATAATCTTGTTATCTTAGTAAATAACAAATATTAAATCCACATCTGACTTCAGTTTCATCTTTCATAAAATTACATTATATAAATGTATATATAAATATACATATTTATATGTTTTTATATGTTTATATATGTTTATATATATAAATATGTATATTTATATACATATATAAATAAGCCTAGAAAGGAAAATGGAAAGAACAGTTATGTTAGGATGGTAGGATTTTATATAGGGATGTTTTCTATTTTAAAAATTTCCTGTGGGCGCCTGGGTGGCTCAGTTGGTTAAGCGACTGCCTTCGGCTCAGGTCATGATCCTGGAGTCCCGGGATCGAGTCCCGCATCGGGCTCCCTGCTCAGCAGGGAGTCTGCTTCTCCCTCTGACCCTCTTCCCTCTCGTGCTTTCTATCTCTCATTCTCTCTCTCTCTCTCTCAAATAAATACATAAAATCTTTAAAAAAAAAAAAATTTCCTTTAAGGGCACCTGGGTGGCTCAGTTGGTTAAGCGACTGCCTTCGGCTCAGGTCATGATCCTGGAGTCCTGGGATGGAGTCCCGCATGGGGCTCCCTGCTCAGTGGGAAGTCTGTTTCTCCCTCTGACCCTCCCCCCCTCATGCTCTCTCTCTCATTCTCTCTAAAATCCTTAAAAATAAATAAATATTTCCTTTAAAATTGTTTTAATAAGGTAACACCCTTTTTAACTGCCATTACAAATATCTCTACTATATATCATTACTTAATAAAAATACAAAACAATCATTAATTTGATTAGCAAGTATAACTTTTTATTTTTTAAAGATTTTATTTATTTATTTGAGAGAGAGACACAAAGATAGCCACAGAGAGCACAAGCGAGCACAAGCTGGGATGACAGGGAGAAGCAGGCTCCCCACCGAGCAAGGAACCCAGTGCAGGATTTGATCCCAGGACCCTGGGATCATGACCCGAGCCAAAGGCAGACGCTTAACTGACTGAGTCACCCAGGCACCCCAGAGAGTGTAACTTTTTTAAAAAACTGAAACTAATTCTCAGGTAATGAAGACCCTCTAATGAAATCTATGAATACTCAAAAATCTACTTTACTTTTCTATGAATCCTGCTAAAATAAGTATCAACAGGGGGGCTAGGTTATTATGCATTCAAAGTTTAATAACAAAAACTAGTTGACATGAATGGGCCATTAATAAATTGTGATTTTGGGTTGGGGGGGATGGGGTAACTGATGAATCACTAAATTCTACCCTTCAAACTAATACTATACTACATGTTAACTAATTTGAATTCAAATAAAATCTTGAAAGAAAACAAAAATAAAAAATAGTGATTTTGAAACTTTGTAAGGATTTTTATCCTAAGATTTTTATTGTCTTATGGGATTTATAACTAAGAATTATTAACTTTATTAATTCATCTTCATTAATTATTCATTTAAAAATGAAAACAATTAAAAATATTTTGTCAGTTTAGGGGTGCCTGGGTGGCTCAGTTGGTTAAGCGGCTGCCTTCGGCTCAGGTCATGATCCCTGGGTCCTGAGATTGGATCGAGCCCGGAGACGGGTTTCCCTGCTCAGCAAGGAGTCTGCTTCTCCCTCTGCTCCTCCCCCACCACCACCCACTCACACCTGCCTGCACATACTCTCTCTCTAATAAATAAATCTTAAAGAAAAAAACACCTTGTCCATTTAGTACTAACAGTCTTTATTGCCACCTCAACGAAATTAAGATAATTATACAAAGTTTTAAACATCTCAAACATTTTCTAATTACCTCAAAATGGCATTAAAATATAGAAAATCTGTTTTCATTTACTATCAGAATTCAAAATTGTAAATAAGTAATATAAAATAAACAGTAAAAACCAAATGTGTTCTGTATTCATAAGAATGGTTAAAAAGGAAAAATAGCATTAGAAGCCAATCTAGTAATGAATTCTTTTACATTTTCACACAAATTCTACATTAAAACCTCTGAATAAAATTGTTTAAACTCCAAATTACTAAATCTGTTTCTACTGTTCCAAAAATATGCTACATAAGTAACACCCAATTTATAGCCTCCAAACTGAAATTTACAAAGCAATCATTTGCTTTAAGGAAAGCACAATGTCATCCAGTTAATACTAATGAAGAAAGGGGCAGCTGGAAACTGTTCATCATCCTCTGTATTTTCATGTTTATTTCAAGTTAATTTCTTGGTACAGAAACAGGTACCTTTAAAGAAGTATTTGTATTTTCCCAGTTCATAATATGTTTTGAAAATGAATCAAACAAGCTATGGGTTAAATTAGTATTCCCTGATTCCTATTCATTCAACAAACATATATTTGTGTCATCACAATTATCATTACAGGAATTACTTCACCTACCAATGTCTATTTCTCAGAAAAGTGTAAATGCACAACTGCAGAAACTTTTTAGAAGATAATTTTAAAACTCACTAGAGAAAAGTCTACACAAACTGAAGTCAGCAAATGGTTGAAAACAGATGTCACCACAGCAACCCCAAAAGATGATGATGAAGGGATGTACTTACGTTTCAAAACAACGATCCACGTTGTCAGACATCAAAAGCAGCATGCATAGCTGTTCAAGGGCTATTAGTTGCATATCCCTTTCATCTCCCTGTCCCATCTGTAGCCATTCCAGCAGTGTATCAGGATCCACATCTGCCATGGTTTTTTAAAAGCCTCTTTGCTTAAATTAAAAAAGTAAAAGGAAAAAGTCCTTTAAATATCCAGGACTGATCAGCTTGGGTTTAAAAAATTTTCTTTTACATCAGCTAGAACCAAATGTTCTTGGTGTCCTCCTAGGAATTAGAAAAGACGTTTGAGAGAGTACTTTAATGCAGTTTTTCAACTTTATTTCCCCAGTTTAACATTCATATATCATACTACATAAAAACCAGTTTTGCGCTAGAGTATAAGCTGATTAGGTTGCTACTTAACTGGAAACCAGAGCTGTCTTTGTCAAACACAGTCAAACTTCAGATCCCACTACTGCTATCACCAACGTCTGTGCCAAAAGGCAAAGAACACCTTACTAAAGGTTCTTTTTTTTTTTCCCAGCAAACTTCGTCCCCCGTCCTCCACCCAAAACTGATCTTCAGATAAATGTTAGATTCAGTATTTTGAGATGATTGTAAGCACTGTGTCCAATCCCCCTTCAAATTAAGTTTCTGCTTTAAAATGATCTCCAATTCCACAAATTCTGCTGACTTCCCAATTTACTTACTGCTCCTTAAGACATCCACATACAAACAATAATTAGGTACAAGTTTTATCTATGAATAAAGGCGTGGTTAAGAATTCTGTCTTGGCAACTCTTAAAAGTTTAAAAAGAAATGCTAAAAGTAAATGCAATGGACTAACACCTTACGGATCCGCATACAGGCCAATCTATGGCCCTCTTTCCCCATCCCCACAGAATGGGGCAGTTGGTTAAAAATAATAATAATAATAATAATACAAAATTGAGAAGCAGCCCCAAGAGGCAAGTCATTACAAAAGCCCGGAGGCGCCCCGACGGAAGGACAGCTTTGGATCCCAGGTAACCCAGATGCAGGTGTGTGAATCCAGCCACCGGTCCCGGTGGGCACCCAACGGCGGCGACCAGCAAGGATGACCCAACACTCCGGGCCCAGTCGAGCGCCGCGCCGGGAAGCGCAGGCACTGCGCTCTGGTTTCCTGGCACCAAACCTTGCTAAGTTAGCTACCTGTGTCTAGGAGGGGTAAGTTCTGGAGGAGAGGCAGCAAGCCTCCGTGCCAGGAGCAGGCCGCCGGGCCGAGCAGGGCGGCGGGTCTCTCGGGAGCGGCGTCCGGAACTTCGAGGCTCGGGGGGACGTCCCTGGCCCCACCGGGAGGCGAACCCTTCTCAAGGGCAAGGGGGGCCCGCCCTGGGCTCCGGTTCGGGCAAGCCAGGCTCCGGCTCGAACAAGGCGGGCCCCACCGCCGGCAGGGCCGGGGGAGGGGAACAAAGGGGCTAAGCGGGTTAGTCCGCAGCAGCCCGGCCGACCTCACCCGGAGCCGGGGTCTCGCTCCCCGCACGCCGCCGGACATCCCGGGTCCGGCCGCCAGGCCTGGCCGTTCCGACCGCCTAAGGCGCTTCCGCCTCTCTGTCCCTCAAGCTCTTACCCGGGCTTGTCGTCCCAAACCGCTCCGGTCCAGCTCCAAGCAGGCCGCGGGCAGAGCCAGGCCCGGCCGCGGCCCTCGAGTTACCAGGAAGCCGCAGGCCGCGCAGGTCGAGCCGGGCAAGCGGCACAGGAAAAGCCGCGCCTCGTCCCTCCCCTTCCTCCGCGGGGACCTGGTGACAGGGAAGCGAGGTTCCCCCGACCGGCGGCAGCCAGCGCACGTCCGGTCCCCGGCACGCGGCTCCTCAGGCCCGCAGCTCAGAGGCCCGCGAGGTGCTGCCGGCGGCGGCGGCGGGGGGTGGCCGCGTCCATCGCGATCCCGGAGGGGGAAGGGAGGAGGGTCGGACGAGAGCGGGGAGGGGAAGCTGCGGAGGGCAGCCGAGCTCGATGGAGGCGGAGCAAATCGACTCTCCCGGCAGCGACCCCACCGGCCGCCAGGTGGGGCGCTGCGGAGACCGGTCGGCCGGCGGTGCAGTAGCCCCAACCTGGGGAGCCGGGCGGCGGTATCCGTGGCCTCCACTACTAGGACACTCTGGCCCTGCGGCCCTCGGACGCCTTAGTCAGCTGTCGCTTCTCTGTCGTACGCCCGCACACTGGTGCACGCACGCTCAGCCTGTTTTGCACCGTGCCTACACACTTGGCGTGCTCCTGCTGTTAGGCCCCCACGCTACACGTCATAGCTGTGGCCAACCTGTCCTTGCCGAACCCCGGCGGGCCGGGCAGCCCGTACTCCGCCGCGAGCTCCCCCTTCCCGGCGGGGCAGCCCTACTAGCGCACGGAAGTGCGTCGCGGGAGGAAAAGCATCTCCCTGGGGTCTTAGGAGGCAAACCGCCCGCCGTTCACCAGAAGGAAAACCTTTCACCACAACCCCGGGAAGTAAATATTTTCAAGCATTGTCTCCGTTGCACTGATGAGAGAACTGAGGCTCCAAAAAGCGTAAATTCAGGCCCAGTGGCGTCCCGGTAAGCAGCACCGCTGAGAGGGTGCTTTTGACTCTTTTTCCTGTGGGTTGTGGTCTCAAGTACCTCCGTGGTTATTCCCCTTCAAACGTTTTGTGTTTCACACGCTTTGAGAATAAAATAGGCCTGCTTATAAGTCCTACTTGGAGATTTTTAGGATGTAGTTAATTGGAAATGTGAATATAGCTTTTTTTAAATAAAGAAATGAATCCCTTGGTTTGGGAGATAAGTAAACCCATACCTCAGACACTCTCACTGTACTCTCCCCTTTTCATCTTTTATAACAAAAATGAATATTACATAATAGTATCTGAGTTGTGTTCCTTCAAGCAATCTGCATATGCTTGAAGAACCAGTATTTTGGAAATTACAGATTTGCACTTCAAATATATATAGGCACATATCCCACTGTCACGGGTCATGGTCCCTAGGTCTCCTGTTACCAGTTCAAATCAAGAGAAAAGGGCAGAGGATTCTACTATCTTGTCACAACTACAACACATGACAATAATTGTTTGGGAGCTATGACTATGATGTGGAGCTGCCAATAAAATCTTCAAGGAGGAGGGTCTTTATGGACTGTGAAGAATGGGTGGGATATGGACAGTGCAAGGGAGGGCAAAGAATACAAGCAAAGCCTGATATCTTCTGCCAAAGGAAAGAGGAACTGTGCCCCAAGCAAAGAACCTGCATTAAGCAATGAAGGGGAGACAAGGTAGGGACTAAAGCATGCAGGGCCTTGCATGCCAGCTGCAGAATTTTGGCTTAGATAAGTTAACAAGTTTTGGATTAGAACACTGACGGGAAAAATCAGTCTTAGAAAGACTGATAGAATGGCTAAAAGGAGCTACCTAGACAAGACAATTAGCTGGGAGGTTGCTGAAATCCGCTCATGGAGGAAGGAAGGGCCTAGTTATTGGCAATAAGAATGAAGAAGAGCTAAATCTAACAATCATTTTTTAAAAAGATAGATCAGAATTTAAATATTAACTTCAATTCTTTTTTATTCTTTATTTTTTAAGAGATTTTTACTTATTTTTTTTTAAGATTTTATTTATTTATTTGACAGAGAGAGATAGCGAGAGCAGGAACACAAGCAGGGGGAGTGGGAGAGGGAGAAGCAGGCCTCCTGCCGAGCAGGGAGCCTGATGCGGGGCTCGATGTGGGGCTCGATGTGGGGCTCAATCCCAGGACCCCGGGATCATGACCCGAGCCGAAAGCAGACACTTAATGACTGAGCCACCCAGGCGCCCCAAGAGATTTTTACTTATTTAAGATAGTGAGCGAGAGCACGAGCAGGGAGAGCAGAGGAAGAGGAAGCAGGCTCCCCGCTGAGCAGAGAGCCCTGCCCCCGGGACTCGATCCCAGGACCCTGGGATCATGACCTGAGCTGAAGGCAGACACTTAGCTGAGCAGAGAGCCCTGCGCGGGACTCAATCCCAATCATGACCTGGGCTGAAGGCAGACGCTTAACTGACTGAGCCACGCAGGTGCCCCGACAATTCTTATTTTTTTTTTTTAAAGATTTTATTTATTATTTATTTGAGAGAGAGAGAATGAGAGATAGAGAGCACGAGAGGGAACAGGGTCAGAGGGAGAAGCAGACTCCCTGCTGAGCAGGGAGCCTGATGCGGGACTCGACCCCGGGACTCCGGGATCATGACCTGAGCCGAAGGCAGTCGCTTAACCAACTGAGCCACCCAGGCGCCCCGACAATTCTTATTTTTTAACCTGCAGAGAGGACTTGGAAGCTAAGAAAGTGATTATGCTATTAACAGAAAATAGAAAAGTTAGAAGAGACTACACTTAATTTTTTAAGGCATATTTTCCTTTATTCCCCCACCATCTTTATTTGCAGCACCCCACATATACCCCAAAATAAATGACTTGTAGTATGCTTTAAAGAAACCTTATCCAAAAAGTGCTATGACTTTTATTGTGATTTCATTATTATGTTATTTTAAATTAAAATATGAAATTCCAGAACAGGAGCTTTCAAGTAAAAGAATAAAGCCCTAACAAAGCAGAAGATCTTGTGAAGGCAACTGACCATACCTGAATATATATCCCAAGCAACCAGGGTATGTTTACATGTTAATATTTCACCTCCATGTCAAAATATAAGAATAATGGCCATTGGGGGGCGCTTGGGTGGCTCAGTCAGTTAAGTGCCTGACTTCAGCACAGGTGATTTCAGGGTCCTGGATCAAGCCTCTCATAGCAGATGCTGCTAGGCAGGGAGTCTGCTTGAGGATTCTCTCTCTCCCTCTCCGTTTGCCCCTCCCCCGGCTCATGTTCTCTCTCTCTCTCAAATAAATAAATCAATCTTAAAAAAAAAAGAAGAAAAATGGCCATTGGGAATTGCTATGTACCAGAAGGCACAGTGAGTCACAGACTTCATCTTCGATAAACTATATAAAAGTCTAGGAGAGGGCACCTGGGTGGCTCAGTTGGTTGGGTGACTGCCTTCGGCTCAGGTCGTGATCCTGGAGTTCTGGGATCGAGTCCTGCGTCGGGCTCCCTGCTCAGTGGGGAGTCTGCTTCTCCCTCTGACCCTACCCCCTCTCATGCACTTTCTCTCACTCTCTCTCAAATAAATAAATAAAATCTTTAAAAAAAAAAAGTCTAGGAGAAGGTAGATGTGAACACACTTCACTTGTCTTCCTCCATGATAATACTTATCACAGCAATATTGTTAACTACACTGAGAACATCAAGGAGGTAATGGCATGTCAGAAGGCTTCAAAAATGATGTGTGGGGGCATGGGTGGCTCAGTCGTTAAGCGTCTGCCTTCGGCTCAGGTCATGATCCCAGGGTCCTGGGATCGAGCCATGCTTCGAGCTCCCTGCTCAGTGGGGAACCTGCTTCTCCCTCTCCCACTCCCCCTGCTTGTGTTCCCTCTCTTGCTGTGTCTCACTCTCTGTCAAATAAATAAATAAAATCTTTAAAAACAAAAAATGATGTGTGAACTAGATCTCAAATGTTCAGTTGGAGCTGGCCAGACATTAGGAAGACCAGGTGGAGCGGCACAGAAGTGTGAAGAGGGCTCCTTTTTGGGAAACAGGGAAGAGGTCACCATTTGGGCATAGGCCCCACTTTTATGAAGTATCTTCAATATATACACAGTTAACTGGGATTGATTCACAGGTTCAGAAAGAAAGACAGCATTCAAATTTAAACTCTTATCCCACTGACATTACTATGAATTAATTTTTAAAATAAATCTTATGAATAACACAGTTACATGGCATCACGTTTTTTATGTATTAAAAGCATCATTAGATGTAAACATTTCAAACATGCTACAAAAAAATGTCTGGGCATTTCTTCAACTTTTAACTGGAAATGGGACTTTCTCTGGCTTCTCTCAACTTCTGAGAAGCTGTAACTATGAAAGAGTGTGGCCGTTTTGGAACAGTAGGAAATGAAATTTGGCTGGAACCTCGGGTAGAGTTAGTGGCTGGAAGAGAACATTGAGGTTAATTGGAATTAGTTTGCTAACAATCTTGAACACCATGCTAAGGAGTCTGAAGTTTGTTCTTTGGGCAATGGAGAGGCTTTGGATGTTGTAAACAAAGGAGCACTGTGATATGATGCAGGTGGTAGGATTATTAGCCATCTTCATGTTAAAAGTGATTTCTATAAGGGTGCCTGGCTGTCTCAGTCAGTAGGGTATGTGACTTTTGATATTAGGGTTGTGAGTTCAAGCCCCATGTTGGACATAGAGCTTACTTTAAAAAATTAAAAAACCATAAAATTGATTTCTATAAAGATTTACAGTTAGCAAGAGACTTTAACAAAAATTATTTAATCCTCCTATATTATTTAATATATATGAAAAATGATCTAACTGTGTTATCATAAGCATTATTTTACATAAGAGAAAAAGCTCAGACAAGTTAGGTGACTTGCTCCTGCTCTCACAGCTAGTAAAGGACAGGTCTAGTTCTCAAACCTAATCCTTCAACCCTTGGGCTCTTAGAGTCTGAAGGAATATGCAAAATAACCTGGGGTGCCTGACTAGCTCAGTAGCGGAAGCATGCCACTCTTGATCTCAGGGTTGTGAGTTCAAGCCCCACATTGGGTGTAGAGATTACTTAAATAAATAAACTAAAAAAAGAGAGAGAGAGAGAGAGATAACCTATTCTACCTTCCTTCATGTTGAAAACAAAACAAAGACAAAAACAAAAAAACAGTGTAGTCATTTGTGCCATCCCTGACTTGTTATCCAGATTCTTCTATAATATTTCCAGTGTTGGGAAATTATTACTTCATGAGGCAATGCATTTTACTTTGATCTACCAGCTTCAGTTATTAAAAGGTGGTATGGTTAAAGGCTATACACATGAGAG